CAGGCGTTGCAGAGCGAGCTGTGTTCAGTGCCACACTGCTGCCCCCCTGTGTCCTCTCCAGGCACAGCTTCTGTTCATCACACCTCTGAATTCCTTCCTCCCAGTTTCTCACTAAGTAAGACTGTCAGCCAATCTCTCCCTCGTTCACTCTCTCTCTCTCTGTCTGTCACTCAGCTGTGTCCCGCTCCCTTATTCAGCCAGTGCCTCGGCTCCTCAGTCTGTCAGTCTCTGCTCATTCAGTCGCTCCATCCCTCGCTCCTCATTCACACAGCTCACTTCCCCCCCACTCCCTCACCTGCACTTTCCTCCTATCCGTTGCAGTGCGTCTTAGTTGCCAGGTTTCTGTCCTTCTCTTCACCAGGGACACTTTATATTCCCTGAAAGCCCCTCATGTTTTTTTGTTTTGTAGAAGCTGCTTGTAAGCCTCTTCAAATCTTTTATTCTCCTTGGCCTCGAGCAATTCATGTATTTCCTCCCACTCCCTGTGTTTGCCACCTTCAAGTCTTACACTTCTTCTTTTTCCTCCTTTGTCTGCCTCAAAGCTTACCTCTTGTCCTTTCTGTGGAATATTTCTCTGCCCTATGCTTATAAGAAGTACTTTTATGATGATTGATTCAGTAGGATTTAAGTCCAATGCCAACATCCACTGCCAATAAAGGAAGCGTGAGATTTTGTGTAGCGAGGCAGAATGTAAGGTCAGGGTGTTGGATTAGCATGCTAACACGCTGAACTGTAGATGGTTGACATGGAAAACATTAGCATATTATGATTTTTACTGTGAGCTCTTTATCATGTGGATGTTAGCATTAGGCTCAGATCACTGCTGTGTCTCAGTAAAGCCTCACAGAGCTGCTAGCATGGCTCTAGACCCAAGGTCCGGTTTTAAATCGTTACCACAATGTTTCCCTAACCTTAAATCATATTCAATTTGCTCAATAAACGTATTTCACAATATGTAACCAAGAGTTTTGACTAGCAATAAGTCGACAAATCAATTAGTTGGTTAACCCTCCTGTTGTGTTCGTCCCTCCCCCTCTCTTTGAGGCAATCAAGTGTAAAACACAATAGTTATGATTGATGAAAGTAAATAGATCAGATTTGACCCGAACACGACAGGAGGGTTAAAAGATACATTAATCATAAACTAATCAATTAATCATTAAAGTCATTTTAATCATATGAAGGTCAATATGATCAGGACATTTAAGAAAACCCATTGGGCTTTGAGGAACTGGGATGGACCATTTTCTGGCTTTTTGTAGACCAAACCATTAAAGAAAGGTCCCAAATCAACATTCTGTCAGGCAATAAGTTTAAGATGTCTACTTCCACCAACTATCTTTAACCTCCCTTCCTCCCTTATCTCCTCCTATCCTCCATATCTCAGTCTCTCCCTCTGCTCCCCTGTTGATCCCATATCTCTCCCCAACGTCCTTCTCTAATCTCTCCTGGTGTGTATCCCCGAGGACCTATGCAGAGGGAGAACGCTCCTATAAACCTTGGCATTCAAACCAACGGTGCTCATGAATTTTAATACGCAACACAAGAGTGTGGGCAGACAGGTGGGCAGCGCTCAGACTCTCTGCGTGTCTCACCCCCGGACCCCATGGGTGCTCAGGGAATCAGGTTTTATCGCGCCTGTTTTGGCTTATCTCAGCAGCCACCCTGCAAGCCAAGGTCAATTTCATGCCTGGGCAAGGGGTGCTCATGCTGCGGGGGGTTGCAGCTAAATATGAAACCATAAATTGACCAAAGCAAACGGTCCACTGGCAGAACAGCAGCTTTTCTGCTCCACTGCACTGTGGGCGGCAGCGCCACGCTTTCATGGAAATGAAAATGAGCTGGCATTTCCTGTCGTTTGACGTGTTTATACAGGAGGTCGAAAATATCATGGATTAAAGTGAAACTACAAAAACTTCACACATAAAGGTCAGTTTACTGATCCAAGGAAGTACTATTCAGGTGTTTCTCTTCTGAGGGAGCTTTCCTGAGACTATGAATAATAAATAACCCTGATTATTAATTCAGTTTCAGCTATTATTTCAGTTTCAGTTCAGCTTCACTCAGAAACTGCAGAGTTATCAAAAATACAATGCCTGCATTAGAACATGTGCGGAAGTGCCCGCAGGCGGCGTAGAGACCGTAAACAAAGGCGGGGGAAGCGAGGACGGCTAAGAGCTAGGCTGAAGCTAACACCGCATCGGCTCGCCCTACCCAGCATTTTCCTCGCCAATCTGCGGTCTATAATGAACAAAATGGATGAGATACGACTACGCATCATCAACCACAAACGGATGATGGACTGCAACATCATGATCTTCACGGAAACATGGCTAAACAGCGGCGTTCCCAATAGCGCCGTTGAGCTAACTGGGCGTAACTTCTTCAGAGCAGACAGATCAGCTGACGACTCTGGTAAGACCAGGGGCCTCATTTATAACGCCTTGCGTAGGATTCACGTGGGAAGGTTGCTTACGTAGTGCAAAGCAAAAAAATAGGTACAGAAATGTTCCGACATTTTCCGATTCACAAAACATTGCGTACCGGCGAGGGAAGTGCGTACGGCACTTCCTACGCCTGTTTCCCTTTATAAATCACAATCGACTGGAAATGCGGCGCAGCTTTTGCAGGCTTCACGTAACGCCCATATTTGCCTATAAATAGTCAAAGAAACGCCCATTCATTCATTCATTTTGACTGACTGCAGGAAGAAGATCGCAGGAATCTCACACCGTGTCAGATTTTGGTTATTTTGGGGAGGTCGAGATAAATCATATTGTTTGGTGAATGCAGTTTGAACCAGAGTAGCAGCATGGAGGTCGGATCGTCATCAAAATAAATAAATAAGTGTCCGAAAAAAGGTTAATGACAAAAAAATACACATAACCTTCCTCAGGCAGTGTGTTTGTCCCGGGGACAGGAGACCCCCCCTTGATGAGAAACTCTAAGAAATGATCGGGGAATCCCTCCGGAGTGGAGTCATGACGACTGGATCTGAATTATTTTTTTGTATTTGGTGGTTTGTGTTCCAGCTGTCGATCAGCAACTATATATCCATAATCCACCAGTTAAAGGAAATACAACTAATGTGTTGTGTTATATTAGCTGTACAATTTACCACATATGGTGTTCTTAGTTTCCATACCTCCTGTGTTTTACGAGCTACTTATCAAGTCTTGGCAAACGGCATAAAACACGATTAAACGTGATAGTATATAAAACCATGCTCGTATCTACAACCTATAGAAATGCAAAACGGCGTCAGTTTAGACGTAATTCTGTCCTCCTGCTTACCGCATCATTTATGAGAAAACATTTCATAACATTAACACAACATATTCAAGGTGGTTTTGAATAACATATTATTTCTCCAAGTTATGTTTTTGTGTGCACTGAGGAGTCGCAAACAGGCGTTTGTTTAATCATTTTAAGATTGGCTTTAATCAATGTTTGAAAATGAATTCTTCATATATGATAAATGAGAGGTAACATTTTATTTATGGTATTATTTCCACATATTTCTCTCCATTCTTCCTTCTGCCAACGGTGTCGCAGTTTCTCGTCTCTCCCGTTTTTGTGCTTAGTGCGTACGCATGGGTTAGAGTTTGCGTGGAGAACCGCACATTTTCTCGTCAAGTTAGTATTTTATAAATCGCAAACATTGCGTAGAAACTGGCGGACGCCATTTTTTGAGCGTATATCCCTTTATAAATGAGGCCCCAGGGGAGGGGGGCTGTGCATGTATGTAAACAAAGCATGGTGTACAGACTCTGCTCATCTGCAATATCTTTTTATTAAATGCAGACCCTTCTATCAACCCAGAGAGTTCACAGCAATCCTAGTAATAGCCGTATATGTACCCCCGGATGCTAATGCTAAAATTGCAATGAAAGAACTGCACACAGCCATTAGCCAACAACAAACTGCACGCCCTGAGGCAGCTTTCATTGTTTTCAATCACTCCAGTTTGAAGTCTGTACTCCCCAAATTCCGACAACATGTCTCCTGCCCCACGAGAGGCAACAAAACATTGGATCATGTTTACACCAACATGGCCAATGCATACAGTGCCATTCCCCTCCCCCACCTGGGTCAGTCTGACCACCTCTCACTGTTCCTTTACCCCACATACACACCACTCATCAAACGTGTGAAACCCACAGTGAGGACTGTCAAGGTATGGCCTGAGGAGGCAGACTCTATGCTACAGGACAAGTTTCAACACACAGCCTGGAGTGTGTTTGCCACCCAGGCCACCTTGGATTCCCATACAGACATTGACCACTACGCCTCCTCCGTACTGGACTACACTGTAAAAAAAGTCCGTGAAATTAACAGGGAAAAGCTGTAAAATCACAACATCAAAAAACTGTAAATAGAGAAACAATGAAGCAGTGTTTAATTTACAGTAATATTTCGTAAAGTACTGAACCAAACAAAACTGTTAAATTCACATTAAGAATATGTTAAAATAATTATATTTCATTGTATAATTTACAGATTACTGTGGTTTGAACACAGAAAAACTGTAATACATAAAACAATACAATACAGTTAAAATTACAACATGACAGTGTTAAAATCATGTTTTTTTATATTTTTTCATTCTTGAATATACTATAATATACTTACTTCTTATTTCTATTTGTTTAATACATATGTTTATTTTTGAAATTGGAAATAACCCAGTACTGAGATATTCTTGGAAATTAAATGAGAATCCATAAAACAGCTGGCGTTTGGATTCTGCGGCCGACCGGCTATTTGGAGTGGAATGCAGCCCACGGCAGACAGCCCAAACAGTAATCGAACGCCTCCGAAGGAAACGGCCGCTGAACTGAGACACGCCTACTGAGCAGTAGAGTTTGTTTCTGTTATTTCATTGGACTATTTAATTATCGCGGGAGCTGCCACTTTTTGCAGGTTAACGGTTACGGCTCAGTGCGCGCCAAGTCTGTCTCTCAAGTCTGCCTTCCACGGACCACGCTGTGTGCACATGAGCGGAGGATCACATCTGTAGCACTGGTAAGCTAACCGTTCATTTTCTTCAAACTTCAATTATAACACTGTGTGTTGTCAGGACAAAACTAACTTCTGTTTGTGATTGAGTGCATTTTGCAGCAAAACGTTGAGGGTTTATGTTCTGCATTGCATAAGTGTTTTTTCAAATGTGTTGGCGCGAACTGCAAGCAAACAGGTGTGTTGTCAGGACAATGCTAGCTTCTGTTTGTGATTGAGTGCATTTTGCAGTCATAGTTATAACTTCTACTGACCGGGAGTTAATTTAAATAGTCTGGTAACGTTATTGAAGTATCATGCTAAAAGCTGAACTCTTTATTTTCGTTTAATTCATGCTGTTGTGAAGCGGGGGGTTTGAAGCTACATCTGAGGGGGTTCAAAGTTAACGGGCAGTCATGTTAGCGTGCTAAAAATGATTACCTGCCGTTTTTGCAGGTTAACGGTTACGGCTCAGGGCGCGGCCAAGTCTGTCTCAAGTCTGCCTGCCACGGAGCTGTGTGCACATGAGCGCAGGATCACATCTGTAGCACTGGTAAGCTAACCGTTTATTTTCTTCAAACTTCAATTATAACACGGTGTGTTGTCAGGACAATACTAACTTCTGTTTGTGATTGAGTGCATTTTGCAGCAAAACGTTTATGTTCTGCATTGCATAAGTGTTTTTTCAAATGTGTTGGCGCGAACTGCAAGCAAACAACGGTGTGTTGTCAGGACAATACTAGCTTCTGTTTGTGATTGAGTGCATTTTGCAGTCATAGTTATAACTTCTACTGACCGGGAGTTAATTTAAATAGTCTGGTAACGTTATTGAAGTATCATGCTAAAAGCTGAACTCTTTATTTTCGTTTAATTCATGCTGTTGTGAAGTGGGGGGTTTGAAGCTACATCTGAGGGGGTTCAAAGTTAACTGGCAGTCTACTTTTTTTCTGTTCTTTCTGCCACTTCTTTCTCTCTTTTCTGTCTAATTTGAGACGTTTATGTTGCACAATGTTTTTTGTTACTGTAAGCTCGTAAAGGGCTAGTTTGGATGCTTATGGATACTTATCCATAGTCAGTGTATTACTTGCATGTCTTTGGAGGAACAGGCAGGAGTACGGGTACGTATGTAAAGCTGTGGATGGGTGCAGCAGCGAAACGTATTTTAGCCACCTAAAAATTCAGTTTACGTGTACGCTATATTTATAATATTGTCACAAATGTACCCTGCTGCTTCAGTCCCTATCAGAAACAGACTGTATAGCTGTCTGACAGCAAGGTAGAGCTTTGAAAATATTCTTTAATATAGCATACACTAAGAGTAATATTGTTTTAGTTTTTTTGGTGGCTTAACTATGTCCACAGCAGTGCATTGCTTAGCTGTCTGCTGGTTCTCCTCTCTGTTTCTCCAAACTGTAGCTCCTACAACCCCCCTTCAAACAATATGAACTATCCCCTAAAAGCAAGTCAAATTGACATTACATTTATCTCCCCTTAACCTGCAAATACACATACATACATTTTTGTATTGATGGTGAGCAATTTAACAGACCTTAAAATGTGTGCTAAAATTGTTTTGTGAAATATTTCAGGAAGACAAGTCTTGTTTTAATTTAGTTTGAATTGTGTTTTTCTTCTTTTTTAGGACGATCATGCTATTCTTCAAGGCGATTCATGCTGAGTGTGGATCGAAACATAGTACAGGACAACATCCCCTCCTTGGTTTCTGCCCTGTCCATGATGTTTGGGAGCTATTATTGCTTCAACATCGCCTACCCGTCAGAGCTGGCATCCACCCTGGAGTTTGTCCAGAGGTATGTGTTTTTTGGGATTGGCGTTATCCAACAATTAATTTTATTAAACTGCAACAAATCTAAAGCAGCTGCTTCAGTGAATTGGGGGTTAAGATAATTGTCATTTTGGCTTCAAAATAATAAGATTGATGTGAAGTTTTTTTGTTGTTAGGCAAGCTATTTTATTATTAATTCTGTTGTTTGTTTGTATTTTTATTTTAAGGTGTTTTTTCTCCATCAACCCAGAGAAGGGCACCAAAGTGGAGAAGACACGTGCATCCCGTCTTCAGGTGAACCCGAGAGTCCTCACCTTGATACAGGAACTTTCGGACCATGAGTGGCGTGATGTCTGAATATGGACAGTAAGATCAATGGCATGTAGCGATGTGCCCAAGTTACAGTTTGTTTGATTATTTAAATCGTAGTTAAAATTTGAAGTGCCTTTTTTTTCCATGTTCTTTTAACTAATTTTAAAAAATGCAATATGTAACTCTCAAAATGTCAAACTATTCTTTTAAGGTCATTGTAAAAGCTCAGGACATCACTGTTGAGTGTAAAAATGTTGACGTGTTACACTCCACTGGGTGGTTTTGTTTTGTTTTCCACTTGGGTTTTTGCTTCTGAAGTGAAGGGTCTCTGCTGACCCTACCTCTTCACCTATCTCACTTAGACACACACACACATGTGTTTTGCAACTGTAGCTTCATCACGTACACACTTCCTTTAGCAATGAACATGTATTCAACTAAGACAATCCCTTATTTTGGCTAAGTTACAGCTCAGTCTGTGGCTGTGACAGTCGAGTATTATATTATACAGGTGCCCACTATAAGAGATGAGACATATAAAGTACTAAAATATTTAAAAACATTATTTCCCATAAATCATTTGATGTGATGCAAGTAACCTCTCAACTTTGTTCAGCTTGAATTTCCTGGACAATGTGAGCTGTTTGTTTATTGTGCAGCCTTAGTTTGTATGTTTTACCAATATGTATGTTGAGAAATGACAGATGTTTTTGATCACTGCTATTATATATATATATATATATAATAAATTCTTGGAAAGGCAAGTTCTTGTTGGAATTTTTTCAACTTTTAATACAGTGGCTCTTAAGGTTTATCTAGCTTTGCATTTTAAATTTTAAGTGCTTAATCTGTGTACCCTGGATTACATTCTTCACATTTCTGGTAATAGTCAAACATATATATACGAAGGTTTAGTGAAGGTGTAGTTTAAATGAAATCTTTCAATCTGACTAATGTATAGGAAAAACATTTTTATATATCAATAATCCTTACAGGCGGTTTTATGCTATATATATATATATTTGAGATTGATATTCATAGAACAGTTTTTTCTGCATTTTAATTGTAATAAATACATTTTACAGAAAATTTAAATTGCAGTATTTAGATGTTGCTTTCACCGTAAAACTCGTCATTACTACGGCAAAATACACTAAATTATACACAACTTTTGATTATAATTTGCGGGAACATTCAGTTAAATTACAGCATTACACTGATGCTTTTACAGTTAAACAGTGTTATTTGTTTGGTATTTTTCTGTAAAATTGAATGGGATTCAATGTACAATAGACAACAACTGCATGTAAATCTTACTGAAATAATCAGTTTAATAGCAACGTGATCATGCTAATTCAGCAGAAAAGGGCTGTTGAAATGACAGATTTAAAATGTAAATTACAACAGTTTTAAACTGTAAAATATACACGTTGTTCTGTAAAGTTGTTTACAGTTTACCGTATTTTTTACATCATTATTCTGGCAACAAAGCTGCCAGGTTTTTACCGTAAAAACAACGGTTTTTTTTGTACAGTGTACATCAGCACCACCATCAACAGTGTCACCACTCTGAAGCAGATAACAACGTACCCAAACCAGAAGCCGTGGATGAATAAAGAAGTTTGCCAACTACTGAAAGCGCGAAACATCGCCTTCAGATCAGGTGACGAACGGGCTTACAGCTCACCTAAAGAAGGGCCTTAGGAAGGCCAAGCACTGCTACAAACTGAGGATTGAGGAGCACTTCAATAACTCCGACCCCCGAAGAATGTGGCAGGGCATTCAGGCCATCACTGACTACAAACCCACCACCCCCTCTCTCCCGTCAAACGACGTCTCCTTCCTCAACAAGCTGAATAATTTCTATGCTCGCTTCGACAGGGACAACCAGGAGACAGCCACTAAGGCTGTTCCCCCTGCAGACCACCAGCCCCTCACACTCTCACCTTCTGACGTCTTCACCACACTGAGCAGGATTAATGCATGCAAGGCTGCTCGACCCGATGGCATCCCAGGCTGCGTTCTCAGGGCCTGTGCTGGGCAACTGACTGAGGTCATGACGGACATTTTCAACCTGTCCCTGGCCCAAACTGTTGTCCCCACGTGCTTTAAAACCACCGCCATAGTGCCAGTGCCCAAACAGTCTGCTGCAGCAGGCCTGAATGACTTCCGTCCTGTTGCACTTACACCCATTCTCATGAAGTGCTTCGAGAAGTTGGTCCTAGCACAGCTTAAATCCCGCCTATCACCGACACTGGACCCCCATCAATTTGCATACCGGATTAATAGGAGCACGGAAGATGCTGTTTCCATAACACTTCACACCGTCCTCTCACATCTGGAAAAAACCAACTCCTACGCAAGACTGCTGTTCATCGACTTCAGTTCAGCCTTCAACACCGTCATCCCCTCCAAGCTAATCACAAAACTCAATGACCTGGGCATCGACGCCCCCCTTTGTAATTGGATTTTAGACTTTCTAACCAACAGACCCCAGCATGTCAGCTTGGATAATCTCTCTTCCATGACCCTCACCCTAAATACCGGTGTCCCACAAGGCTGCGTGCTGAGCCCCCTCCTCTACTCCATCTTCACCCACGACTGTAGCCCTGTACATGGTTCAAACACCATCATCAAGTATGCAGACGACACAACGGTGATCGGCCTCATCCACAACAACGATGAGACGGCCTACAGGGAGGAGGTTCAGCATCTGACTGAGTGGTGTGCCGATAATAACGTGGCCCTCAACACAACAAAAACAAAAGAACTCATTGTGGACTTCAGGAAATCGAAAGGCAACACACACACTCCCATCCACCTAAATGGAACGGCGGTGGAGCGTGTGTCTAGCTTCAAGTTCCTGGTGGTCCACATATCCGATGACCTCTCATGGTCCAACAATACCACCAGCATAGTAAAGAAGGCTCACCAGCGTCTCTTCTTCCTGAGGAGACTAAAGAAAGATCACCTCTCTCCTCAGATTCTGGTGAACCTTTATCGCTGCACCATTGAGATAATCCTGACCAGCTGTATCACAGCCTGGTATGGGAACTGCTGAATGCTCAACAGGAAGGCACTGCAGAGGGTGACGAAAATCGCCCAATGCATCATCGGTGTCCCACTCCCTGCCATTGAGGACATCCAGGGGATACGGTGTTTGCAGAGGGTGCACAACATCTTTAAAGACACCTCTCATCCTGCAAACTATCTGTTTGTCCTCCTACCCTCTGGGAGGCGCCTCAGGAGCCTCCGGTCCAAGACCAGCAGGTTCAGGGTCAGCTTCTTCCCCAGGGCTGTTACCCTGCTGAACTCTGCCCCCTGATAAACCCAAGCCCATACCCACCACCCACAATGCCGTTTATACTGTACATATTCATCTGTTTATAGCCTATTTATAATTATTCTATTTATAATTATTCTTATTATGACTCCTGCACTGCTATTTTGCACTTCTGGTCAGATGCCTAACTTACATTTCGTCACTAGTACATGTACTATGTAATGACAATAAAGTTGAATCTGATCTGAATCTGAATCAATAAGAATGGATCCTTGTTTGTCTCACCGTTTGCAATGGTTGCAATGTATCATTTACTGTGTCATTCAGTTTTGTTAAATCATGCTTTCTGATGTATGTGTTTGATCAGAGGTCACGCTGACTGTCAGATTTTAATCTAAACGTTCCATCCACCTCATATCATCTCCAGGAGCTCCTCTGTAATAAATGACAGCTTTAACTACTCAGTAATCTCTCCACACTGGAAAAAGGCACAGGAGCCTTTAACAGGACCTCAGGCCCCATTCTGTCATCGACCTCTCATGAATTAGATTCCCCCGGCCACCGTCGGCAAAGAGGATGAAGGAGAATCAGGTTAGGGAGCAAGAAGATTAGATGAAGAGAGTGCTGGTTACAAAGGTTCTCCATGGTGAGGCCTTTTAGTCTAAATGCTTTTGTAGTGCACTGAGGCTCAAATGTTGCTTGGTAAAGGGGAGGCCATTTTTTGTCAACATCACATGGTACTTACTTTTATCTAATTCTATGTTCCTGTGTGTTTTGTTAAAGTATGTCAGACTTTTTTTCTTGTGACAATATTTCCCTGACTATTCTTCTAACAGAATGAGCAATTATAGACAAATATTGCATTCAAATGAAAATGTATTTTCTTATTGGTTGAACGTACAGATATTCAACAGGTTCTAGGTCATTTAGGTGAGGTCTATCAGTTTCAGTGACGGGGAGATTTGCTGTACTTCATCAGTCATGTGACTTAAAACCAACAAATTACTCTGAATTGTTGCACAGGCTGTTCCTTAGTCTCCAAGTCAATGTCTTTCTGAACAGGTTTTTAGTGTTGGGTGTTTTGGGTGTCAGATGCCTGATATATGTCTGAGGTAAGCTTAAACTTTGTTCAATGACACAAAATATGTAATTAAATACCCAATTAGAGAATCATTGAGCTTCGACACGTCTTAAAAAAGGTGGTTGCTAACAAGTCGCTAAATATTACAGAGGTTGCTTGGGACATTAAACATCATCTCACCAAACATAAGTCTGTGACTGTGGTTTGTTGATGGCCTTACAGTGTTTTGGCTTCTGGGGAATGCATTTAAGCTTGAAAAAGATATAAATGGGATCTTCATTTGTGAAGATTATATTGCAGAACAAAACTTTTATCGTGACAAAGAGCTTATTTTCAGCAATATTCCAAAATCCAATGGAACAATTATTATGGAAGCCAGGGCAATGCTAACTTCCTTGTTGCCTTAAAAATAAATGTCATCCATGCAGCACCATATTAACCCTTTTAAATGTTCCATGCCAAACATTACTAGTCTCTCTATTAACTGATAGTGTTGTCTTCCAGTGGATAATAGAAATAAACTTCCTGTGGTGGACAACATGAGGGCAGTATCCACAGCAGCATCACATGAGCAAGCACCGGCTGGTTAATGTTAAGGCAGAGGATGGAGCACACTTAAAAATCATAATCCTGAAACAAGAAAGAAGCTTATTCTTTTTCAAATTAAGTAAGGCCTACTTTTCGTGTAAAATGAGTGACAGCTGAAAGGCTGAAAATATGTATTTAT